AGCTATACAAACCAGAAACACCCCCTTAATTGCATGAAAAACACAGTGATTGTTTAGACGAGTATAGCGTATGCAAAACAGCTTGTGAAATCCTAACCTTTAGAGAGAAGCACATAAGACAGCAGCTTATTCTTTCGCTCCTGATCCCAGCAAATATCTTGTGAATAAATCCGCAAAGACAATCATACGTAAAGAAAAGAGGCAAACGTTCCCCTCAGTTTTGCAAGAGAAAGGGTGAGGAGCCGAGGCCTTTCACACGAGAGCATGGAATATGTTTCTGCCTGGGTAGGATAAGCAGGAGCATACTGCCGAGGAACTCAAAGCATCATGTATCCCAAACACACTCCTTATCCTTTTCCTTTCACGCTTTTCTAAATTTATTTTTTATTTTGCACACCAACTATTGTCCCCCCATACGGCACTTTGCGTGTTTATTCCTGAAGTTACAGGGAAAGGGTTGCTTTCCCTTCCATGCACTAGAATAGCTTGTACTATAAACTCGTCTCTGATGGGAACCGTTTCCCGCAGGAAGCGCTCGGAAACCATTTGTCCTCAGTAGATGATTTTTCTATCAAGTGCGTTTCCTAGGAAATGTATGTCATAAGGCTAAACAACTAAATTGGATAACATGCAGTGTCCTTCCAATCTGCTAAGTCGAATCCGTTTGGATACCCCACACATTTTAATGGGTCATGTTCTGCTTCGTTACACGGTCTGTAGCTCCTGAGCAGCAGGGAAGCAGGTCTCTGTTTGTCATAAACTATCTCATGTTCTCTTTCCTATTGGGGAAAAGCTTTTAATGAACACCAGATTGCTTTCCAGCTAAAACAGGGCATGTTGTATAACAGAAATGCCCACCAATAAACGGTAAAACTGCCTTTTATTGCAGAAAATCGGCCTCATTATAACAATCATTATCGATTTTGAGAGCTGATAAAGACATAACGCGTGGGAATGAGATGCCAACAGCATGCACTAAAAGACAGCGAGTTCCTCTCGAAATCATTATGAAAATGTGTTATCCACTGTTAAGTCCCGTTTTCCTCTCCCATTCCCCAACAGCTGGGCTGAGATTAAAGCTTCAAAGGACACTGGAGACGGCTGTCCGTGTGGTGGATGAACCTGGCTCTGCAGAGCCTGGAGGACAGAGGGACCCCGCAGCAAGGAGCGCGTCCTCCCCGAGACCAGCCCCTCGTTAGTGGGAAGCTTTATAAAGCTATACCTGCTTACAGCACAACCTTCATGTGCTCAGTATTCAGTTTTTGTAATACATAATTTTCTTCTACACAAGCAGCTTGCATATTGACTTTTTCTCAAGACAATTCGGTGTATCTGGTTATGTGATGAAAAGCAGAGATTAAGGAAATCTACAGACTCTTCACCTTGTTCGTTCCCTGTTTTTTACTTCATGCTGCATGTCTGGTCACCTGAATCACACGTCAGTTTTTCTGTTTCCTGATTAGATAAATGGTAACTTTAAAACAGGAGAACAATATATGTGGGACAGTTATTTAAAAAGTGGGGGTGTTCCAGGAAATGTTTTTCAAACTTGTTTTATTGTAGAGATTTACAAAGCACTGAAGACAATCACCTATTAAAACAAACAAACAAAACCAAAAAAAACCCTGTAGTACTGTGAAAGAACTGTTCCTTTTATTTTTACTGTTGTCAGAGTACCCGACACTAAAAAGGTATCTTTTCCTTTTAAATATTTGGTAACTTTATACTTTAAAAAGTAATTTCCAATATCTAGTAATAAAAGGTAGTGGATACTGTCCTATCACATTTTACATCTGAAAATTCCAGCAAAGGAAAAAAATGTTTTTAAAATGTGAAGTTCTTGAGCTCTTCATAGCTGGAAGGAAAAGTTTTCATTTACTACTGTTTGAGTTGGAGCTACAGACCAAGTAGTAATAGTAACCAAGAAGAGAATACACACTTGAAATTATTGCATCTCCTTTCAGTAAAGGAACGCTTATTTTGTATTTGAGATTTTACAGATTCTCTAGGACTAGGAATAGCAAAAATAACAGATTTCTCCTTCTGATGTGGAAGATCAATATTGATGTAATTTGAATAGAAATTTGCCTGTTGTGGAGATGCTGCGGTATCTCCTGCAGGCCAGTTGACATCTACAGTTATTCCCCAGATATTACGATCTATCATTAGGGCAAGAAGCCAAATTAATTGATCTCAATACAAAAGAGATGATATCCATTGGTGAAGCAGTTGCTCGTGCTAGAGTGTTAAAGGAAGAAATACAGGTAACGCGGGCAGTCTGGCATCGCCGCGGGGTTGCACAGCAGTGATAACAAGATAACAAGCCAGCCAGTGGAGGGTGAAGCTTGTGGTATTTAGTTTCTTAATTTTTCATTTCCTAGCTCCTCTGAAGGATTTCAAACAAAGTTTCTGAATATATATTTCCCAGCTGTCTAACTGGGGGTGGAGATGCAGCTGGGGACATGCCTCTGAAAGATCAGAAAGGCATCTGCCAACAGAGGTTACCTGGTCTTTGTGCATGACCCCACGCTGCTGCAGGATACAGCCGACAGACGGGTATAGCTCTTGAAAGTGAAAGTTATTTATGTCCTTGAGTAGCAAAACAATATATACAGAAATACGTATTCTTTCAGTTGCATGGAATTGTGGTAGAAATATTTCTGACATTAGAAAACCCACAAAAACATTCCAGCAGAAGCACGCAAGAGTTAGGTGCTACCTATGCAGGTCTTATTGGTATATAACTTTTGTATGGACAAGCAATGCTGATAAGAGACCAGTCAACAATCAAAGAATAGCCAATAAAAGAAAAAAATAATACTTCCTAAAGTTCAAAGATTTTAGAGTGCATGAATGGAAACAAAACTGCATAAAGAGCATTAAATTTAACCTACTGAAAAACATCACATAGATTGAGAAAAGCAAGTATTTATGGTATCATCTCACTTTCAGCCAGATCCAAACAAAATCCTCACTTTGGACTCATTCAGCGGTGCATCTCTAATAGCAGTCATGACTTAAACATTGTTTTAGGCATGTTTTAATATCTGTGTTTCCCATATCACCTGCTATCACACTGGACCACTAGTGCAGTAAATCCCCCACAGACCTTGTGGGTCTCATATTTTACATGACTGGCTTTCAACATCCTGTTTTACTTCTTGATCCTATTGCATGAATTGGTGTCTTGAACCTGGCAACATTCATTAAAATAACAATAATTCTACGGCTTTGAACTTTACTTGAATAAAACAAAATTTCAAGTTATATAAAGCAGACTAATATAAAGTCTCTTCTGGCAATTACACAGAAGGGTCAACACTCTGGCCAAGAATAATAATTTTCATAAAGTACTCATATCCCTCCTCTCTGAATATGCACTGGCAAGAAAGTAATTTTATTTTAAAGCAAATATCCATCCATATTACAGTGCTCTGGCACTGTTTTACCTCCGCCATAAAATCTCAATTATAGTGAATTACCCTGTTCAAAAATTTGTATCCAAGATAGATCTATGTAACACAAACCCAGATCGGATTCTGTAATAATTCTTTGTAGAGAGACAGGAAGGAAGGATATATAAAAATATGTATGTATATCTACATGTTCACACACACACGTCACCACACTTTTGTGCTTTCTATCAGTGCATTAAGTTTCACTACAAAGCTGCAGTAGTTACTGTTGTAGTGCTAAAACTCCCGAGGGGTTTTGCCTGTTCTCTGAGATTTTACAGGGGGAGAGAAAAGGGAGGCAATGCGCTTTGGTACTGCTGCCAGTCCTGCAGAGTTGTGGCACTCTGACTGCAAAAAAAGCTCAGCTGCCTTCCTAAAAAGCAATTTTATTTGCTTGTGGACAATTACTAGAGTAAATCTACTCATGTAACTTCACAGAAAAAAACATCATAACTCATGTGAGCCAATATATGCCAACATATACAAAATAGTTAAATGACAATATATACTGAATTATCAAATGTATTGCAAGGAGAATAAGCTACTTTTTTTTTCTCAATTTAAAAAAAAATTATGTCTGAGATGTACATTTTGAAAATGTTTAGATTTCTCCTCAAGGAAACTCCCACCTTTTGAATTCAAATATAAGATAAATTTGTTCTGTGAAAATATACCTTTTAAATTAATTTTTATTTGATGAGGTATAAAGATTTTAAATATAGGTAATTCATACATGGTAACACAGATATTTCTGCTATAAAAATGGCAGAGGAACTTGCACACCATAGATTTGCATATATTTTTTTTTAATTCCTCATCATTTCACTGTTTTCAGACACCAGAGGCATTTTCCCATCTGTGGTATACCATCCCCTATTCTGTAAACAACTCCACAATGTGCTGTATAGCATTGAATTCAGTGTAATGCAGTACTGAGTCCAGTGGAAGCACTTGCATGTGTAAAATCCTGCAAAAGGCTATTTGCATTTTTTATAACTAATAATCAACATCTAGTCTATATTTTACTTTTTTCAGTGAAAAGATCTTTGCTTTACCAATATGTATATTGCATGAGAAAAGCTAAGCCTCAAGGCTCACCTCTAATAATGAAAAAAATTTCAATATTACAGTTACATAATTTTAAAATATTTGTGGTTTTTTTTTTTAATTAGAGTTAGCAGATACAGAAAATTGAAATACTCAGCGTTTTTGCAAAGGCTGCAGATATTTCAGTTTTACTATATTTATCTCAGTAACATATTACATACAGAAGCAAGCAATTTTCTTTCCCAGTGTATTAGCTATGAAATTATATCTATGCAATTATACTGCTATTGTTTCAAAACAATGCATCCCCTGCTTTAATATGCAGTCTCTATGTTAATTTCAGAAATAAAAAGAATACATAATTAACACTTCCACCGTGTCACGATGTGTTTCTGCATGCCGTTCAGCCGGTGAAGCTGAAATGCCGAACAAGTTGTGAGCGGTGGAGACGACCCCCAGCTCTGCAAGGGGACCGAAGGAAAAGGCGCCGGATCTTACCTGCAGGCTGTTGAAGATGATGAAGAAGACTAACATCCAGAGGTGCCGGTAAGCCATGTGCAGTCCTCCCCACAGCCAGGTGATAGAAATCAGGCCGAAGAGGTACAAGACCAAGGGAACCTCTGAAAACCATGAACACAGCATTTCAGCCGGTGCGCCCTGGGAAAAACACTTTTTAAAGCATTACCGATGCAGGACGCGGTTTCGCCGTCTCTGGCCAACCTTGGAGTTTGTTCTCCAGTGATGGGCAGCCCTTCTCCTGCCGCAGCCGGGTGGGGGTCCCAGGGCTTTCGGGACCCCCCTGGGGCCAGGAGACCAGCAGAAGGGCATGGGCAGCTGGGGGATGGAGGGGCCGGGGGGCACAGCAAACCAGGCATGGGTGCTTCGCCGGAGGGAAGAGCACACGTGGAGTGAGAAAACGCCCTGACCTTGGGGGAAGCACGGGAGAGCTCTTGGCAAGCTCTGGAAATTTTGGGAGGAAACGGATTTTCAAGAATTGAAAGGGAAAAGAAAAAAGGCATTATCAATACGAAAACTGCCACAGCTCTGGCAATTTAGAGAATTATATAGAAATTGTAAGAATCGCTTCTTTTCTGATTTGTCGTCAGTTTTACTGCAAGCTGAACACGAGAAGGCATCTGACCCTATAAAACCTTAAGTGACAACCTTCACTCCGGCAAGGAGCCCCCCAAAGACAGACTTTGCGCCAGTTGACTTCATTCACCTTCAACAATACGTGCAGAATCCGTCCTTAAGCACACATACATACAGCTGCATTTTATATTCCTTACTCTATTTACAGCATAAAAGATTAAAGGAATGCTGGCAGGAAGATGTCTGCCTGGACAAAGTTTGCAAAAAGGAAAGATTTCACCCCCACCCGCTCCTGTCACCGACAGCCAGGTACCCCACGCCGGCCCCCCGTGTCGACCGTATTCGCGGCAGACTGCAAAGTCCATGTTTGCCCAGGTCTGCACGCTTCAGGGGCAGAGGTGCTCGGCCAGGCATTGCCCCTCTCCGCATTAGTCATGCGGCATCAGCAAAGAGCAGGGACGTGCTTTTGACAGGCATCGTTCTAGAAAGAGCAGTTTGGGAGCATTTAGGCATTTTCTTTAATACCGTACAAACAGTAAGTGCCTTCTGAATGTAGGCAACAGCCAAAGGCAAGGCTACCTTCCAGCAAGGCAGGCAGCGGTTGGTTCAGGGTTATAACTCTTGCTTTGGCAGAAATGCATGTGTATATTTTTATAAACAAGGGAATGTCTTGAAGCGAAGCGCAACGTGAGCAGGCACTCTGTTCCTAAAGTTTCCCCTGTGAAAGCCTCATACCGCTCAGTAAAACCTGGGGTGCAACCCTGGGCTGTTCTGCAACCACTGTTTGGTAGTGTGACATAACATTTAACAAAGATATGTATTTCCTTAGTGAATTATAATACGATACTGTGTTACATGTGAAAATTAACATTATGCTAGGGTAGCGGTACCATAGGACTTGAGGAGGCATCGTGGGTGGGTTCCTGGTACCTTAGAACGGCGTTAGATGCATGTATTTCATGTCACGGGAGATCTAAGGGATCTCTACGTGATCAGTACATACAACGTAGGACCTGTGGAAGACCTCATGAAGAGAAAGCTGGAGGCCAGACTGGCTAACCTTGGCTGTCTCAAACGACAATCGATGCCCATTAAGCACCTGGATCGCTTCTCCGAGGTGAGGTCTGGCCAAAATTTATTAAAGGTCTGAGGCTTCCCAAGCATCCCTGATCCGTAACATAACACTAATAATACATGTGTATTTTTCAGAGCAGCATCAGGGGAAGAAGATTAAAGCTATGTACCTCTGTCTGGGAGGAACTCAGTTTTGTTAAAGGAATGGAATGGAAATGCAAAGTATTTTTCACGCCGCACTCCACAGGCACTCTTGCACGCAAAGCACCCGTCTCAAAGTCCCTTGGGCAAAATGGAAAAATAGCCTCGACAGATGTTGAAACAAACTTTTCTATAACAGCTACTAATATACATGGCCAACACCACAATGCTTTTACAATAATAAAAAATGCAAACCCCTCTAAAATACAGGTAGTTCAGTAAGAAGTAGAGCATTAAGTATTTCTCTTTATCCTACACTGCATACACTGATGAATCCAAATACTTATTAGATGTGTACTTAACAATGTTCACAAAAAAACAGCAAAGAACTGGCAACCTCAAAGTTTTTGAGGTTATAATAACGAAATTTACCTAAATAAAAAATAAGAAAACATACATCAAAAAATGTCGCTTTTTGTAAATGTAATTCTAAAGGTAAATTCAGTAATTATCTATAGAGCAACTCATTAATTTATTTGCGCACACATATTCATGGAATGATCATCTTTTTGTTTAAATCTCAAAATCATGCAATAAACTTTAGCTGCTTAAGAAATTCAACTGATACAATGGGCTGGCAGCTAATGATCACGAATGCATACAATTCTAAATGCTGTACATAGACCAAAGCAAACAATGAAGAGAATTATCTCAGGAAGTTGAATAATGATTTGGCTTTTGTATTACTTTGCAACATGGTTCAACTCAGGTGAGGGGCAGGGGAGAGAAGAAAACAAAAAGTGTGGAAGGACAAACTGCAGGCATTAGAACATGCCAAAAATTAACACCATGTTTTCTGCTTTTAGTGCATAAACATTACCTAAGGAAAAACACCACAATATTAATCACAACCTAGCACCTCTAGATTGTTGAAACCATAGATCACTGAAATAGCTGTGTGCATAAAGCTGAAGGAAACAGAGCAATATGATACCTAGATCATATACTTTTGATATACCATGATCTGACTTTATTATCTTCAAGTGTATGTGAGGGAGAAATCTGATAAATTCAGTGCCATCTCACCAGAATAAAATTACCACAGGTAAAACCAGAATCAAGATCACTGAGGCTAACAAGATCTCTATGGAGTGTACCTTGAGTAATTCTGATAAAAGTTTATGTAATGAATGCTACGCAGTACAAACATGTCAATTTATATATATGCATTATAACAACAAAGATGGTCTGAAGGTACCTGCGTTTTGCCAGATGCGGAATGTTTGTACAGTTTACAATTCTGCTTTTATCTTTGTTAGTAACAATTGCTTCATTTTCAGTATTGTAAAGGGTTAATACAGAGTTGAAACTTTGGCAGCATTTAGTTTCAGCTGTCTGAATTCTCTTCACCCATTTTGATCAGACAATTTACTGTATTTAAACAAACAAAAGCTCAATTACTAGGACAAACATATCAGAAAATCAGCAACAATGTCTTTTAAGTTCGTAAAAACAGCCCTGCATAAAGGAAAAAGGATGCGAATAAATAGGCTTGAAATGAACCAGAATAGACAGTCTAGTTACCTGTGGTTTCCTTCATATGGAAAGAAAACCAACACCCCCCTCCCAAACGAACTCAAAAGGTATTTCTGGGCACATGAACCTTCACTGACAAGAATTTTGCTCTAAATCCAAGCGCAAGCAGTCACCTTAAACTACTTGAGTGAACCTTAGCAGATAAAAGACTGCCGTGGAGCAGTCCCCTCAGCATCAGTGTGATGTGGGGGAGACATCGTCAAGCAGCTCTGTTGGGCATTATATATTCAAACCATGCTAGTCCACATTTTTTTTACACCATTATCACACCTTTTTTTAGTACTAGGAATGATGAAGGGTTTTATTTGACCAACAGTCAGTCCACCCACTCCTTAAATATATATATATATGTATCTATGTACGCATATATCACCATCCTGACTGTTCATGCCTCTCCCTGAAATATCTCCCCTTTTCCCTAACTACAAGCTTAAGAAACATTGGCAGAGTTGATGACTCCATACAGATAAATTCAGCTTATGCAGCTCTAGTTGCAGTTTTTAGAGTTTGAAAACTTACCATCGTCCAGCTTGGTATTTGACCAGGTGAAATTACATATATTCAATTTACCAAACAACTAAATGTGCCCATTGTTTCTCACTTCTTCCCCATTGCTGAGAAAATACTATTTTCCTTATTAACTTATCTATAAAATGTATTTTTCTGCAATGCTTACTATTCTGAGGGCTGTGGTACATTGTAATCAGTTTTTGTGGGTGGTAAAACTGTAGTTTTACTACAGTAGGGGAGTCCTTAGTGTAAACACAAGATTTTGTCCAGCTATTTACGTAGAAATGATGCTGGCGAGAATTTGAAAGATAGGCTGCAATATTTTCGTGACAGGTTTGGATTAGATTACAAAATTCATGAAGCACGAAAAGTATTAAAGTGCTGGAAAAATTGATTTACCTCAATGGGAACGAGGGAGTTGTACTGGATATGAACAAAAGTTTACCTGGCCCTGCCTCCCACAAGGGCCAAAAACACCGGCCAGATGTCATACTTCTCCCAGCAATTCTCCCATTTACAACTCAGGAGCTTCCTGAACCAGTTTCTTTCTATTTAGTAATCTTCAGGGGATTTCTCTTTCACAAACCCATCTTGAACTGATTACGGTGATCTTCGATAACTCAGAGTATCCAGTGGCAAGGAATTCCTCAGGAATAGCATAAGATTCAGGTAATAAAACGCCAGATTGCTCGGCTGAAACAGCTGTCAGCATTGCGTTTGCTGTTTGGTTTCCTGATAGCAGAAGAAAGAACAAGAAATAGAAGGAAACGAGAAACCCAGAACATTTCCAAACAGTGACGTTTTCATCTACAGTGGTTTTAAATCTGTAACAAAATAAACCCACACAATTTTACTTTTCTGGAATAAACCTCACAAAGAAAGACTATGGTGACAGTTTTAAGTTCATCTTCTGCTATGCTGTAAGACATCTGTACTGACCTACACAGAGAAATAATCTGATGATGAGGCTCATGTGTCTACACTTACACCTACTGAGGTCCACCAAGAAGTTTACCACCACAGGACTGTGGTCCAGCCAGCCTCTGCATGACTTCTTCAGAAATGAGAACTGCAACGGTTGGCACATTTATGTGCCCGAAAGGACTGGAAAAATGGTGAGAAATACTAAATTTTACAATACAGGATAAGACTGCCTAAAATTTATTCATAGCTGGGGCTTGGAATAGATTCTGCCAGTTGAGTAGTG